GTGGCGTAGGGCGGGGCGGCGGGCACCGGCTCTGGTGCCCTGGGCGGCAGAGCAGCCGGAGCCTGTGGAAGTCTCTGCCCCTTCAGCACCATCTCCTGGAGCTTCTCGATTTTAACTCTTCGCATGTGGGCCAGCTTCCGCTTGCTCTGATAGATGTCAATGAAGGAGTCCAGAGAAAGCTCTCCGTCCAGAAACTTCTCTGCCATGTTCTGAAAGCAGCAGGAGACACCCAGTCACAAGCACGTCAGCGGCAGGGAAGGAAGCTCCCTTCACCACCCGGGCACCAGGACGGGCACGGCCAGCTTCCTCCCAACACCCGTCCCCGCCGCCGACCCCGGCTGACCTCAGCGGGGCCCCCACCCAGGCAGTGAGCGGGAAGAGGGGGGCTGGACCCGTCTGCCCTGCCCTCCAGAGCCACAGACTGGACTGGTGGCAGGGGGGCCGCACAGCAGCCCCAAGCTGCTGGGTCGTCCGTTGGAGAGGGAATCATTCAGCAGCTGGGTTCCTGACATCTTCCCTCCACCGGCCGCGTCCCGACAGACTCGCCCCACGAGGGGTCAGCAGGACAGAAACTTGCCCATTAGGACCCCACCCGCTGCCCAACAGTTAATCAGAGCACATGGGCCTAACTTGCTACAACTGCACAACTTTTGACCCACTCATTTCCTTATCGCTTACTCAGGTGCTCAGCTGGCCGTGCCCACGGGTCCTGCCCCACCAGCTGACTCAGACAGATGGTAACTCAGGGACTGGCGCCCCTCACTTGAGGACCAGCCCACCCTGCTGCTCCCCCAGGACCTTGGCCTGGCATCTTCCCGGCGCACTCCCGTGCAGCCTGCACGCCTGGGAGGCACCACTTCCTGGCCGTGGAGAACCAGAGGACCTAAGGATGGACTGACTGCCCAAAGTGGCCTGGGCCGGGGAACTGTGCCCTGGGCACCCCGCCCGGCAGGCTGGCTTTACCTCCGTGTCTTCCTCGATCTTGGCCCCTTCTGCCTGGAGAAGCGCTAACAGGGTCTCCAAGGAAGCGCTGCTGGATTGTTTATCTGGTAAGAGACAGGATGGGGTGAGGGGGCATCCGCACACCCCAGAAAATCACCATGACCCCCAGCCCCTCACAACAGCATGCTCCCCTAGTCTCCTTCCCGCTTCCCTTTCAAAGAAAGAGCGCACTTTAGCTGGAAAGGCGACAGAAGAGTCACACCTACTGAGCTGACTTTTCAGGAAGCTGTAAGGAAAGGCTTCAACATCCAGGAGAGAAGGGAGTGCACGTGACCGAGGAGGGGTGGGGGCGTTACAGCAGCCAGGGTCACGTCTGCCCTATGACACAGGCCACGACTGAACACATGACGTAACGTGCAATCACCCCATTATGTATTTCCTTTGGCTCTCTGATAACTTACATAAATACATCAAGCATACATATCTTAAGTGTATGACCTGAGTTTGTACACATATATAAACCCAACCACCACACCCAGATGGGGACTCGGAATGTCTGCGAAGACTCCGAGGCCCACTCCCAGAGGCGCTGACCACCACCACTCGAGACTCCTGCCGGGTTCTGAACTTCACAGAAGCGGAATCGCACTGGGTGTGCTCCGCGCTGGCCTCTTTCACTCAACAGCATGCCTCTGAGACCATCTGTGCTGCTGCACAAGCTGGCCGTGTGGCAGGCCATTGTGTAAGCATCACAGCTTGCCCAACACTCTGTAGATGGACGTCTAGACTGTTTCCAAATTTAGCTATTGCAAATAAAGCTTAGCGAACATTCTTGTGTGTATCTTTTGACAGACGTGAACGTCCATTTCTGTTGGGGATACACCAAGGAGCCACCAGGAGCCAAACTACTGAACCACAGGGTCTGCATGCTTTTCACGGTAGCAGGTACTGCCACACAGCTTCTCCCGTTCTCAGTCCACCAGCGATGGAAGAGCCCCACCCCCGCCAGCACTGGTGTTGCCAGTCTTTATTCTGGTTGGACACGTTATATAGTAAATTTTTACTGCAGTTATAGAGATGCAGGGATTACAGTACCAGACACCACTGTAAATCTCACTGAAGGGGATGATTTTTAACGTCTCTCTATCTCAGAGTTTCCCTGAAGCTATCCCAGAGCACTCAGGCCTCAACAATAAACAATTCCTGCATCACTTCATAACGGCTGCAAATTAATGTGTGACATTGAAATGTTCCAGTGACAAATATTTCTCAGCATTAACTGTGAGAGCCTAACCTTCAGAGGATAAGACATGAGCTGTATACGAGAACTCAGAAAGCTGCCTTTTCTCTATGCTGTTTGGAAAAGGTGGAGTTTTGCTTAAAAAGTAGTCAAGTCTCTTTTTCCAAACTGGTGACACAATCCTCTGCATGAACTATTTTTTTCACAGTAATCATTGTCTTAACCTGAAACTGTTCCATAATATTTCTTCCTAGTAGGTCAACAGCTTGAAAATGTGCCCTTCTCTCAACTCTTTATTCTTGAAAGATCACCCCAAAAAGGTTACCTAATTTGGTCTTCTTTATCTGATAGGCTTCAAAGAGCACCTGGAGTTCCTGGTATTTTTGGGTCAAACGTGCTTTCAGAGAGTCCAGCTGGGGCTGGTACAGAAGGTTTCCCTCTGCCAGGCTCCGGTTGCTGGCCAGCGTCATTTCTTTGTTAAGCTGAACGTTCTGCGTCTGCAAGGACCATACAGGGTGATGAGGAGCAGTTCTGGTCCTCAAGCCCCACCCCCGGGGCCACCGAGCTGGCCTGCACTTGGCTGAGGCAGCCGCCCCCACCCCGACTCCAGCCCCGACGTCTAGTTTGGACACTGCTCCCCGTTCTTAAAGAGCGGGGCCGCTTCCTCCCCAACGGGCCTGCAGGCCAGGCTCTGTCTGGGGACCCGAGGCTCTGGCCTCAGCAGCCGCGTTGTAACAGGGATTCCTCACCGCGGCCACTGCGCTCACAGGAGTGAACAGCTGTAAAGATTCAGGCTACATCTTTTCAAAACAAGTTGCTGCTATTCCAGAGACGTTAAAGAATCACTTTGCATTAGAGGAGGGCCAGTTGGTAGGGGATCAATTCAAATTTAGTCATCACCTTAAATACCAAAGCCTGAGACCCTGGGATGGGATCTGCTCAGTGACCCTGTTCTCTGTCCCCACGCTCACCGCCAGCTCTGGGAGGAAGCCGGGATCCCCCCAGTTCCTGGCCAAGTTCAGCGCAGCGACCTAAGCTGGGGGAGGGGGAGTGACTTCCCCATCAGGGGTTCTGTTCTGTGCTTCAGGGAGGTGACAGGTCATGTGGGAGGTGGAGAAGCCCACTGGGACCCCAGGGGTGAGAGGGGAGAAACAGCGAGGAACTCCTTATGAATCGTGACCAAAAGCAGATTCGAGTAAAAGAGCAAAAACACCAACGCAGCGTCATCTGGTTCCCTCGCCACGACCCCTGCAAGCCCGCGATGGGCGCCGTGGCCATTCGCTTGCTGGGTCTGAGGCCGCTGGGTCTGAGGC